TTCATGTCAGTGCTTTCAGGAGTTGGGGAGAAACCAAAGGAGGGCTGTGGAGCTGCTGGGAAGGGCTGGGGCGTTTGGGGCAGAAAGAGCAGAACCTGCTCCTGTAACAGAAGGAGTGGTCTGGATGGGCTGTGGTGGGAAATTCCCCCTGATCTCCTGCTGACCAGAGCAGAGTCATTGGCTTGTTTGGGGAAAAAGAAAAAAAAAAGAAATGCTTAAGCTGTAGGCAGTGCAATGGTGTGATTGTTGCTGTGCCATGGAGGCAGGGGGAGCAGCAGGGCCCAGCCCGGCATTCCGGGGGGTGTGACACTCCATGGCTGTTGTGTCCTGCACAGCCCCTGTCTGCAGGAACTGCTCGTGCCTCATGTGTGCCAACTGTACTGAATAATCTTGTGTTTTCTACTTCAGTGTGGATGCCCAAAGGTTCTGAGGGAAATCTTCATGTTCCGTGGTTTCTGCTGGCAAACACCTGGAATTGCCATAGAATTTATTGCAGCGGCTCGTTGTTTAGTTTTCCTGTCAGGATTTTGAACTGTGACACAGATGCTGCAGAAGGAGACAGCAAAACAGGGAGAGAAGGAAAAGAAGTGGATAATCCATGTACTTACACAGCAGATGCTGGTGGGAATACTTTGTTTCAGGAACAGTTGTGTTTTAGACTTACTGTGCAAATCCTGCCGTGTCTTCGTGGCTGGGGGTGATCCCAGCCTGCAGCACTGTGGCCATGTGTGCCATCAATCAATCAATCAGTGGGCTGTAATCCTGAAAGTACTGTTTATTTTCCAGAAAAAATGACTGACTAAACACTGTTCATTTGATTGTAGAGCTGTGCAAATGCTGGTTAAGTTCACCCTGGGACGCAGGGCAGCAGCGAGCGATGTCATGAAGTCCTGGCAGAGCAACCTGGAGCCAAAGCCAGGTGGGAAGACTCATTCCTTTGCTGGATTTGGATCCCTGCAGAACAGCCTGTGTACTGAATGATACAGATTTGCAGGTAGTACCAGAAGGAGGAGTTTGAGGTCAAGTCCATTTGGTATTAGGGGATTCCATGCTCAGTGCAGCACTGCTGGCTGCCCACACAGGTGTGTTGTTGTCATTCCTGCTGCCACATGGGAGCAGATGTTTAGAGGAAGTTATACAAGTTCAGCAGAGTTTAAATCTCCCAAGAAACAACTCGTAGTCTCCTGTCAGCTCCAGGATAACTGGGATGGGAGGGCAGGGGGACGGTGCTCCAGCAGCTGAGGATGTGCAGAGCCTGCAGAGCAGTGCAGGAGCCTGGATGGTGGAGTTCAGGAGGTTCCTTGCTCTTCAAAGTGAGTCCCACGGGTGGGATCATGAGCAGCTCCTGCCTGCTCCAGTGAGAGGGGATTTCCATCACACTTGGAGAATGGTCTCCAGCCCTTCCCACGCTTCCTTCTCTGGGGAGATGACAGTTGCACTTAGTCCTGCTGATGGAGCTGTTACAAGGTGAGGAGCCTCAGCCCAGCAGCTGTGGTGAGTGGTTAAGTACTGAACAGGAACAGGTTTGGACTTATTTTGGGAAAAACATCAAGGTATGTGCCCCAGGCAGTGGTTCAGGTGCTCCTGTCCCCTCTCACACAGCGGGTTCAGCTCCTGTCCTTCACCAGCCACCACTCCTGACTCACAGAGGTGTTTATTCCCCCAAACCTGGAGCAATGGAAGTTTTGGCTGTGACCATCAGTGAATACAGCAAAGTTAGTCACTTTTATTTAAAAGAAATAACATATTACAAATAAGTGTGCAAAACAATTCCTGTGGTTAAATACACATAAAAGCAACATGCAACCTTGACATCAACATGGTAAGTTAGTCCTTAGTAGGTTACGTGACACTAAAAGGGACTTGTCAGAGTTTGCAGCTAAACAATCTGGGAGTGAACTGCTGTGTCAGGGCTGAAGCATCTGTGAAATTAAGAGTCCAGAAGAGCTGGACCTCCCTGCCCCAGGGTTTAGTGCCAGAGAGGTCAAGCTTGGAGCTAATCTTGTGCTCTGGGTTAGGAGCTTGTGCCTTAAGTCAGCAGGAAATAGGGTAACAGTTGTTGGGGAAGTGTACAGGTGAGTGGGTTCAGTCTAACCTACCTGTCCTGGGCCAGCAGCTTTAGGATGCAACAGCTCAAAGAAAAAAAGACAAGTTTGCAAATTTAAAGCCGTTGCAGATGTGGATTCCTGGCAGCTCCCTCAGTCCTGTGCTGGATGTGTACAGGGCCTGTCCCAGCTGCAGGCTCTGGCAGCAGTTTGGCAGCACAGCTGGCACACCAGTACCCAGTGGGATTTACACCTGGAACAGCTGACTGGGAACAGGAGGACTCACCTCTACAGCTACAGGGGCCCTGGGTGTTTGCTGGGCACACCCAGGGGGGCTGGGTTGGCTGCCTGGAGGTGCCTCCACTGCTCTGGAGTTTGGCACCTTGGGCAGTTCGTGCTGATCCCTGCCCTGCACAGGCAGGGCCCCACCACTGCCCCCACCCCTGCACAGGGCAGGGGACAAGCAGAGCTCGAGCTGCAAGTGTCCCCTGTCACCCCTCTGCTCCTGGCCAGGCTGGCAGAGGGAGCATCACCCAGAGCGCTCCCCCCTCCCAGCCATGCAGTGGAAGTAAAGCAATGCCTGAAATCTTCTGGTTTCACATCCCTTCTCCTCAGGCCAGCCCCGGGGGTGGGCAGCCCCACAGAGCTGCCCAGGTGGCAGGCACGGTGTTGGAGCCAAAGTCATGTCACAGTTTGGAGTAAGAGAAACCCAGTAGGCACAAGCTTGTCGAAAGCCACATCTTGAAAACTTGAGTTGGTGACAGTAACCCAAAGAGATTTTAATGATGAATACTTGCAGAAATGAGAACAAACATATGTAGTCCACTACTTCAGAGCTGCTTGTGATCATGTTGGGCCAGGCTTCTCTGTGAGCTCTGCTGAACTTCTGGATCAGACCTGGACATTTGGAACTGTCCCTCAGAGGTGTGGAGTGGCCGAGGCAGGGCTGTGACTCGTGCACTCCCCTCCACCCAGTCAAAGCTTCTCATCTGTCATTTCTAGGAACTGAGCGTACACATCCCTTGAGCATTCCCCTTTTTGGTTGAATAAGAACTTGTAGTAGCTGCCATCTGCACATATTGCTGCAACACAAACAAGCAGAGTCAGCTGGGCTGTGCCTTTCTGTTCTTCAGCTACAGCACAACCCTCCCTTTGGGCTCACAGAGCACCCAGAGATGCTCTGGAGAGACCTGACAGCCACCAGCCCTGGTCTGCACTCCCTCCCTGGGCAGTGGGAGCAGCCAGAGCTGACAGGGACACTCAGCAGAGGGTTCCCTCCAGCTCCAAACCAGTGTAGTTCAAACCCTGGCTCTCCAGCCAGAACCTGGGGACTCCTCCATCACTCACCTATGACAGCGTTTGGCTCTGTTCCAAAGGCACAAATGCACGGAGAGCCTGAGGGAACCTGGAATTTGGAAAAGCTCCATTTGGAACTGAAGTATTTGGGGAGAAAGGTGGCAGAGGCCAAACTGAAAGAGAGAAAAAAAAATAACAGCTTAGTATGGTGTTGAGTAGAGTGGATTCAGAACTGCTGGAGTGACTGAACAAGATAAAAGGCTCACACTATTTTTGACTGGCTTTTTATGATCTTTTACCAAGTACCAGGTAACCTGGACAATTCCCCTTCTTGGCAAGGGGGACCCTACAACTACCTTTACGTTTTTAAGTGACTGGAAAAACTGCCAAAGGATTGATTTTTAGTAGAGGGATGTGTCCACGAGGTATGTTCATGCTGAGATCCACTAACACCCAACCTGACCCTCTGCTGGAATTCTGCAGCTCCACAAGGGACAGCAGGAACTTGGCAGTTTAACTACAGAGCCCTAAATCTGCAGCTTCACTCCAGCCCAGCAGATCAATCTTGCTGCCTCCAGCAGTGCAGGGATTTGCTACTGAGTGACACAACCAGTGTTTTAAATGCCATTAAAAGCTCAAGGACACCCCCCTGGCTTCAGGAAGGCTCAATCCCTACCTTGACTGCTTATTTCTTTTAGGGTCTTCTGCAGCAAAGATGTGGACTGTGCCGTGGTCGCTGGAGACGCAGATGAGGGAAGCATCCTGATTGAAGTTAATACTGCAGAGAACACAGAATGCTGCAGGATCCTCCTGGGACAGACCCACAGCCCCTGGCACACACAGTTCTGCTGCTGCAGTTGCCCACAGCAGCTGCCAGCCTGGTCTGGGGTGGGAACAGCTCCTCTCTGTAAGAGCTGGGGCTCCCCCGATCCAGGGCTGCCTTGGGATGAACAGCCCAAATCCCCCAATCCAGGGCTGCTTTGGGATGAACAGCCCAAATCCCTCAATCCAGGGCTGCTTTGGGATGAACAGCCCAAATCCCTCAATCCAGGGCTGCTTTGGGATGAACAGCCCAAATCCCTCAATCCAGGGCTGCTTTGGGATGAACAGCCCAAATCCCTCAATCCAGGGCTGCTTTGGGATGAACAGCCCAAATCCCTCAATCCAGGGCTGCCTTGGGATGAACAGCCCAAATCCCTCAATCCAGGGCTGCCTTGGGATGAACAGCCCAAATCCCTCAATCCAGAGCTGCCTTGGGATGAACAGCCTGCACTGGGAACAGGGTCTGGAGTGGCAGGAGCAGCAGGACTGCCTGACATGGACACCATGGGTGTGGGCCACTGACACTTCTGGAAGAAAAGGAGCTCTGCTCCAAGGAGTGGGCAAAACATGTAACATTCCTACCCCAGATGGGGCTTGGAAGAGGAGAGGGAGTTTCCCTGCTCCTGGCAGAGTCACACCCCTGTCCTGGGCACTCCCCTCACAGCAGGATGTGAAGCCCCACCCTGCCCCAAGCTCTCCAGTCCCTGGGCAGTGTTCAAATGCAGCGGGGCCCTCCCAGTGTCTGTGTAAGTTCAGCATCCCCAGCTCCCACCTGTGCTGGGCAGGGGCACAGCCTGGCACCACACACGGTGCTGTCCCAGCTCCTGCTCCCTGTGCCAGGCTCCACACACCTCCCAGCTCCCTCCCCTCCCCAGCAGCAAGCCCAGAGCAGCCCTGGGCCCTGTGAGGGCTCTGTGTGCCCAGGAAGCACCTCTGTGCTCAGCACAGCACCTGCACATCCCAGTACATTGGCCATCCCAGTGTATTGGACATACCAGTAGATATTGGCTGCCTGTGATCCTCGACGTAGCTCCTGGATTAAATGCCCTGACGAAGTATCAAATATCCTTATAAGGGTCCCCTTGAAAAGGAATCAAGCCTTGTATTAGGAAAGGCAGAAGACTCTCTTTACATCTGTGAATGCAGCCTAAAACTCTGTCTGTCTGACCAGTATGTCCCTGCACACACCTCTGGGGGTTTTCTTGATAGATTTGAGAACCTGTTTTAATTTTGGAGAAGAACATTGATTACCCCCACACCAGCCCCACAGTGTTACAGTGCTGTGGTGCACAACCTTGTCACTTGGCTCCTCAGCTCAAGTTTCTTTCAGCTCTTTTCTAAAGCACCAGCACAGCCCTGGCCTTGGTTGGCAGACCCTGGAGTGTGCCCAGGCTCTGGGAGTCACTTCTGCCTTGCTCCCTCAGTCAGTGCTGCCATTTTCAGTGCTACTGTGCAATTCTTTCCCACAAATTATAATCAGGCTGTGGCTGACTTGTCTTAGAATTAATTCAGAGGCTGTCCATCATCACCTGCAGTCCTGTTACACGCCTGGTTAACAGCTGCAGCTCTGCAGTCACACACCAGGAGGTAACAGAACCCAGCAGAGAAAGATTTGGTAAACTCAGCTTAGTTTTGATTTAAGAGACAGGCTTGGGATGTTTGCTGACTGTGCTCAGACTCCCTAGTTTGGTTGGAAAATAAAAGCTGTTTGAACTTTTTCTCTGTACAAAACAAGGAACATCCTGATACAAATGCAGCAGATAATGAGTCTACTTAGCAATGGAGTTGGCAGCTTTAAGAACTCTGTTTAGAAGACATGCAGCCATTAAGCTTAGTTAGGAGAGACTGTGGCTGCACTTTCTTTTTTTAAGCTGTTTGAGTGACAGGCTGGGCAGTAGGAACTGTTCAAAGGAGAGACTTGTTGGATTCATTTGGCTTTTCCTTGAGAAACTCCATTCATTTGAGTGGAAAAAGGCAACAAGTGCTCCTCTTGCCTCAGGGAGATGGGTCCATCTGCCTGACATTCCTTTGGGAGATGAAGGGCCCTGGCAGCCCTCCCAGGGGTTCCCAGGGAGAGGGCAGGTCTGTCACCATTTGAGCTGCAGCCTAACCTGAGGTTTTTGTCAGTGTGTTGTGCTCTTTAGTCCCACAGGGGTGCACACACCATTTCAGAAGGAGGGGGGCAGCCACCCCCTCCTGCTCTGCACTAGGGGCTAAGCCCTGGCAGAACAAAGCCCTCTGGCAGGACAGACCTGTCTGCAAGCATTTCTTTAGCCAGTAGGTGTGAAGTGAGTTTAAGCAGAAAATAATAAAGGTGAAAGAATACAAATAAGATTCTCCTCCTGCTTTTTAAAAAAATTAACAGTATCTGTTGAAGAACACAGGAAAGCTGTGAGCTGCTTGGGCCAGGCTTCTGTCACTGAAGAGTCACTGCTCCAGTCAGCTAAAACATAAGCACTACCTCAGGCACAGCCCTTGGCTGTTGGTGTCTGGGGATCCCAGAGGAGCAGTGAAGATAAAGGGAATGCACATTCCAGGGACAAATTTCCCCGGTAGGTATTTCTCTGTCTTTCCTACGGAGGATGTGACTTCCTCTTTGTGACACTGGAACACACAGTAGGTCAGAGGCAGGGACATCACTCTTACTTTTTCTGATGCTGTTGCAATTCTTGTTCCCTGCAGGTTTAAAGCAATACAGCTCAAGACTCCTTCGTGGGCTGGGATGTCCACGGGAGGCTTCTCCGTGTTGGCCAAATCCACGATCTGCACGTGCCCAGTGTGTGTCCCAGGAAATGCAAGAAGAGAATTATTACTATTTGGACAAAGGACACAGAGACCTGAAAGACACACACACACACACAAAAAAAAAAGAGAATAACTGGATTATTTCCATAAACCAACGTTTTCAAATGTAAGTTTCTAAAATACCAGTAATTTCACAATAAGCAAACAGACATGGAGCAAGTCAGAATCTCATCTGAATGGCTGGTGCAGGATCCCAAAACATGACCCATCCATGAGTGCAGAGCACAGTGAAGCAGGGGAGTAGCATAATTTTAACTTGCTCCTATCACTTTATTTCATTTCAAAGTTATCTAGTTGTGGTTATCCAGAATCTGGGTGTTTTCAGAGATCAGCTCCATCAGCCCATCACAGCAAAGCCATTTAAAAAAGAAGTTCTTAAGTCTCCTTAGTGGCTCAGAAAGGGTAAGAGTTTATCAGAGGTGATATCTGAGTTTCTGCTCCATCCTGATGATTATTAATAATTCCTGTTTGAACTTGGTTCTTACAGCACTGGCACTTTTTCCTTTGTAATGTTTTGTGGCCCACTTAAGGTAAATCACACCAATCCCACGTCCTGCTGATGCCAAATGAATTCCTGCAACCTCAGCACAAGAAACAACCTCCTTCTCCTGTCACAGTCAGTCAGGGGGCTGGAGCTGCATTCCATGTTTGCTCCAGAGTCCCAAAGATGGGGACTCCAATCCCAAATAACCTCCTGGCAGAGAAGAAACCTTCCTGATGTCCAAGTTGATCCTCCCCATCCATCACGCACGGCCAGCACCTCTTGTTGCATGGTGTGGCACTGCCAAAGTGTTTGCAATGATGCACTTTGTGTTTATAATTAAGCTTTCAGCACAAAATACATCCAGTTCCCATGTTCTCTTACAGAAATCACATCTATAAATGAGTGCAGGAAACAGCTTTTCTGGGCCAAGTCTTTATAAATTCTAATAACCATTTTATAAACAAAAGCATCTCAAAAGGGCACAACTGCAGTGCAGTAAGTGTTTAATGACTTCTAAAGAACTGAGTGAGGCAGCTGAAGATAAATGGCACGTCAAGGAGAGAATAAACTTGTTTCCATCCCCCAGCCCACATGCAGAACTAACCTTTAGGGTTGTAGCAGGTTTCAAAGACGTGCAGCTGGTGGGGATTGTGTGTGAACGTGAAAACTTTAATCATCGAGTCCAAGACGACCACAATTCTGAAACAGAGCAGAAGTTCCTGGGACTTGGGGTGGGTAAAACAGGGACACAGACATTCATTCAGACCTGCAAAGGCTTTCAAGTGATTTAATAGCCATGTTCTTCCTGCCCTCCCCCGCAACAGACTCCCAGCCTTGCAAAAACCACACAAGGATAAGCCTGCAAAGTACTTTGATGCAGCCCCTCCGCCCACGCACACACAGGCTCCAGCTGTTCACAGCTGCTCCTGCTCCAGGGAGCTGCTGGAATTCCCTTCACACTCCTCCAGACCCAGAAAAGCAGCCAGCAGGAGCCACAGGAGAACATTTCCCTGCATTAGGGGGCTGGGAAGTCTCACAGGCTTTTCACCAAGGTTTCACATCCCAGTATACTCGGCCTGTGATTTGTTTACACCCAACACTTGCTCCAAAAGCCTGTTTTACCTGTAATTGCTGAGGCTACAGCAGGATCTTTTTCTTTCTACAAGCAGCTGGAAACAAGAGCACAAAGCCACCCTTAGCTTTTGGGCCCCTCTGTTTCACCCACCTGTCCCTTCGCAGCTTCACTGCTTTGACTTCTGTAGAAAACTCGATCTCAATGACAGTCTTCTTCTTCAGGTCATCCCAGATCATGACTAGAACAGTGCAGAGGTTGTGTTAAACCATCAAGGCAGATCCAAAGATCCACACTGTCTCCCTGATAACAGCCTCCAGTTCCCCAGAAGGCTGACCAAGAGGGGCACCCCATGGCTAAGCAGCTGCAGATGGACACCCTGCAAACCTTGAGCCACCACATATCAACCCCCTTGAGCAGGCAGGAGCTGCAAACTCCAACCACAAAAACTGACAATGAAAATACAACTTTCTAAAGAAAAGCAGCTCTTTTTTTGTTTGCTGTGAGGGTTATCAAAGAAATAATGCAGCAGTTGGAAAAAAGCAGCATATTTTCTTACAAATCTTTCCAGCCTGGGAGGTTCCCCCTCAGGCTGCTGGGACGGAGCCTCCTTGCAAAGCTCACCATGAGAAGGTCAGGGGGTCTCTGAGACCTGTCACTGCAGGTACCAGCCTGTTCCTGCTGCCACAGCAGTGGTGTGACTCCCTGCCCCACGGTGACTTAGACCTGCTGCAACACCCCCTCACCCTTCAGGACACCCCCTGCCAGCCCAGTGGGTTTGGGAGCTCTGGGCAGTGTCACACAGGCCAAGGCAGATGTTTGCAGGGTCCCTCCCTGGAGCTCACCTTTGTTGGGTGGGTACTTGGGCTTCTTTCCTCCGCCCACCAGTGCTAAATAGTTGCAACGAAACAACATTTCCACGTGGCCAACGCCACCTTCTACAAACTCTGGAAGACAAATATTTTATTTAGAAGTGTCAGAACCTGTTAAAAGGCCATCTAGTTTTTACCACTGTTACAAGAAAAGCTCCTATTATCCAGCACATCTCCCAGGCACCTGAGAAGAACAGCATCTTCCTACCCTGGCTGCCCTTCAAAACTAGAGGAGGTAAATTCCATGAAAGTTCCTCACACTGGAGCAGTAAAATCCTGGATTTCATATAAGCCCCTGTGGTTTCTTCAACAGCACTTCTGAGTGCTGTGTTTCCTTCCTGAAGAGTTTTGGACACTACCCCCTTCTGCACCACATCCTCCTCTTGACTCCATAAAGCATTTGAAGCAGGATGGCACATTTTGCTATGAAAAGGGATTATCATCATGACAAAAAGGCCTAAAATATTTACAAGTGATAACCTGGGACAGTTTGAGAGCGTGCAGTGTGTCCTGAATCTGTGTTAGAGCACTGAATGATTATCTGCACAGTTCTGAGGGGCACTGCTTGGATGGGAACATCATGGAACTCCTGGATGTAGGGGGTTGCAACAGTTAAGACTTGGTTTCATGTTGGGTTACAGAGAACAATCAAATAGACAACTCCAGCTGGGACCATCTCAGGCAGGTTTAAATCTCCAGGAATGATGAACAGGATCTCTCTGTGTACCTACCCAGCCAGCTCAGTGTGAGTGCTCAGGATCCACAGGGAAAAAGCAATCTGACTCATAAGAAACTTTTCACCACAGGAGTCCTGGAATTATCTCCATCCAGAGCTACTGGCAGGGAGAGTTTTGACAAGGCACTCTACAGGACTCCAGGCTGAGTCCTGATCCTTTGAGCACACTGTCACAGGTGACAGTCCCAAGGCATGTTGCTTATGGAGGAATTTACTGTTAAGAGCAGAAAATAGTTTTGGCCACGTGAACAGTGACTAAAATCCTTTACAGCAGTAGAAAGTGAAAGTGTGCCTGGTTTCATAGGAATTGCTTATTTAAGTACATTTTTCCTCTTATTAAATCCCTTTTATCACCACAAGCTGGAAGTGCTGGGAAACCTGTTTAGCAACTCAACTCTATATTTAGGGTTAGAATCACATGGCTGGGTTTCAGTTTCCCCTATTTTGACTTGGGTTTGTTTGCTTTCTGATAAAAAAGCCCCACTGTTAATACAGCTCATCTACTGATTTCTGTTCAAATATGAGGGAGTAGCTTTACTGCATTAAGATCCTCCCAAATTTTTTAGGCATCCAGAGAAGGCAGGATGTAGAATATTAGAGGTCTGAGCTCTCAGTACTCTTGCAGACAATACTCTGGGTATGAGAAATGTTATGCTCAGATCTCCAGGAAAAGGGCTGGAGTTTTACTGCCACACTGGATCATCCAGATCACCACAGGAGAAAGGAACAACTACTGATGGTGCATAACTGCTGCAGGGAGTGACTCCTGCTCAGGGATAACCAACTCCTCTCCTCCTCAGGGCTACAAACATCAGCAAGAGCCAACGCAACTCTGTTAGAGGTGAGACAAATCCCTCATCAGCCAGTTGTGCAAATTAACAGCACTGAGACATCTGACTGAGCAGTGGCACAAGTGAAAGCCCTTCCTGGGGCTTTATCCAAAGCCTTCCAGGGATGGAGCAGTGAAAGCTGAGCAAGAACCAGTCACAAAAAAAGGAGGAGGCTGAGCTTCCAACCAGAACAGCACAGTGGAGTAAGTAAGTGCTTTACCTTGTTTCTCTTTTTCTTTGAGAGGATCTGCATTATAAACTCGGAATCCATTTTCCATTCCACATGCAAAGCATCCTGTGGTAAAAAGCACACATATATACACATATATATATAGTAACTGCCAGATACACTCGAGAAGGAAGCAAGAGCCAGAGGGTTAAGAGAGCATTACTGCCAACTGCATTGTTACACTCAAGCACTCAGAGGCTCTGTTAGTGATGGCAAGTGAAAGCCCTTCAGAGGAGTTGTTCTCTGGCCTGGTGCAAAGGTCTCAGTATTGTTTTTAGACAGGTAAGAAAACAATGGAAGGAAAGGAAACCTATTCCCAACCCACCTGTATCCTATGCCATGTGCTACAGAGGGAAGGAAATCAGCATTTTAATGTTTATGGTCCAACAGTCGTTATGAAGGAAACTCCCTCCTTTCTCAACAGATCTGAATTCACCCCACAATTATGACTCTGCTGTGGATGTTTCCAGAGCACAGAGCTCCTCAAACAGCTTTTCAGACTGTGCCAATGCCAATAATGACATGCCAATAGCTGAAGTCCAACCCAGAACATGAGTAGAACACTGATTAAAACATTCCCAGATTAAAACACTCTGGAAAATAACTGTAGTTACTTTTTCTTACAGAATTATGCATGTGCCTCTTCAGTGGAATCCATCAAACTACCAATCTCCTGTCCTGCCCTTCCCCTGCTAAGGGAATGCAGGTACTGGTACCAAGAAATGCCAGTGTGAAGTCAGAGCAATGACAAGTCACCAAGGAGCAGCTGCTGTCACTGGCAGCAGCCTGACAGCAGGTTGGTTGCTACAAAATTTGTGTGCAATGTATCAAAAATCCAGTTAAAGATCTTTGAGGTACTGAACAGATGTTCCAATTACTCTGGTTCTGTTCTTATGCACTGCAATGATTAGAACCTCCCAAATAAAAACAGGAGCTCCGTCTAATAGAACACAGCCCTTCCCCAAACTTGATACCCCCAAAATCCCAGGGTGTGTGGAGAAAGAAAACAAAATACACAAAAACCTACTCCCTCAACCCAAAAGATTCCCAGGTACAGCTTCACCCTGTCCAAGAGGTTGTAATAAATTAAGTGGTTAAAGTTCTTTACATACATAAACACACCCAGAGAGTGGCTAATGAGAATATAATAACTACAGCAAGATTAACAACCATATTAAATAGGCTTTTCCCTGACCCCTGCTCATTGCACCTCGTGCCCTCCCAGGTCTGCCCTGTCAGTGTGGTGCCCTGAACTCACAGCTCAACCAGCTGCTGCCCCGGGCAGGGCGTTACTGGGATAACCAGGGAGCAAACAGCAACGGAGACCTTTCCCTCTGCATAAAGCCAAGCTGCACAGGAGCTGTTCCTGGCAGCTGAGCCACAGAATCATTTCCCAGCAGCAGTTTTCTAACCCCACGTTGTATTTCCAGGATAAGGGGAAGGTGCTGAAGCTCCTCTGTAGTAAGAGAGCACTGTAAGGCTGGAGTTGTGCTGATCCCAGCAGCTCCCAACCACCCAAAGGGAGCATTCCTGATGCAATCACACCCAGACTTTACCCTTCCCGTAGCACCTCTCCAGCTTCTGCAGGGCCAAGCTCCTGACTAAGGCGTGGGCTGCTTCAGTGCCTTGGGAATGTCTCCATTTTTAACGGGAGACAACCCAGCAGCAGGTGGGGATGTGAGTAATGGTGAGACTCCATCCCTACCCACAGAGATGTGGAGCTCCCAGGCACGGAAACCCCTGAGTCAAACAGGAGAGAAAAAACACACAGGAAGATCCCTGCTCCTCCTTCACTCCCAGGTTACAGGAGCAGCTTTGGAGCTCAGGGATTCCCATCTGATCTCAGTGTTACCAGTGGGATCACAAATTTGACAGCTGCAGCTTGTGAGCCCTTCTCTGTGAGAGAGCTGGAGGGGGCTGAGAGGAGGCAACACTTCCTCAGGCTCACTGCCTTCCATGGATGATGACCTCCCACCTCAGGAAGGGACAGATGTGCTGGCCAAGTGCCACTGACAGAAGATAACCCGGATTATTTTTTTTTTTAAATGTCATTATTACAGAGTTATTGCCTCAACCTGCAGCTGTGCTCGTGCCAGCGAGGCCACAGCGAGTTTTGTTCCTCAAAATCCACAGAAAAAAGAAGAGTTAAATTAATGCCCAGCCTAGGAGATGCCACAAGCTGAAGGCAGTACCTTGGCCCAGAGAAGCCCACAGGATTCAGCAGTGGCAGCAGTGGAGCCCAGGGAAGCAACGACAGCTGGCACAGCTCCTGCCATGGTGGTTTTCCTGGGCACAACAAATGTTGTCCAGAGCCACAAGAGAGAGCACAGAGCCCTACCAACACTGGGGGGTCCTACAGAGAAGCCTTCCAGCCCACTGGAGAGGAGCAAATCAGCCACGTGTTTCAACATCAGAACAAACCCACCCTTCAGTTTTCAAACCAGCTTTTGGCTGCCACGGTGACAAAAGAGAAAAGTGTCAGCAAGTGACAGGTGCGCTGTCTGAGGTGGTCCCTTGTGATGATGTTTTGTCTGTTCATTTCTGAGAAGCACTTTAGTCCTCTGAAAGCATTGGAAAAGGGCCTGGAATCAGGAGCACACGGCTGAGTATTCACACAACCAACAAGCCCTTCCCTTTCCTTGTGTTACAGTTTCAGTTGAAAACCCCAAAGTGGCAAAGGCACCCACCTAAAAAGGGCATCACTCCAACAGAAGGGGGGAGGCTCATGGCAGAGCAACTTTCTCCCTGCTCTGTCAGGGAGGTTCAACACCCGAGAGACTTCTCAGATGGTTCCTCCTGCTCTCCCACCCTCGTGGGATTGGCCAGTGTTAAATTGGTAAGGAATTAGGTTATTGTGACAATCCATGAGACACCCACAGAGTGAGCCCCAGCACTCCAGTGACTCATGTTCTATTCCCGGCAAGGAGAAGGAAGCAGGAGCTTTCCCTCCTCCCTGCTCTCCAAACATCACCTGCCCTAAACTAATAAAGTGTCAGTGTGACACCTGCAGTGCCAGCGTCATCATTCCTACCAGGAACAGCTCCAGGAGCTGCCAAATGGAAGCTAAATGTGTTTTTAATTCAAGGTTTTTTTGTCCCTCAATTGCCTGGCCAGGGGAGGTTGGATGGGATGTGAACACTGCCAGCTCTCACATTCCCAAGACAAATTCCTCATGGTACTTGGGATGTGTCTATTCAGAAAAAAAAGGGGTTATTTTGCATTTACTGCTACAAAATTTATGGAACCCTTTGCAACAATCAAGTTTTACACTAAAACAATGATCTAAAGGCATTTTTCTCTTACACAGCTCTCTGTATAACCCGGTTCCATCACAGCTCAAGCACCGAATATCATCACTCTGTTACAGACCCTGCAGATTTGAAATCCAGCTCATCCTCAAAAATCTTTTTCCATCTCTGTTGCAAAGACAAGAGCTGCTGAAAATCGGGCTGTTCTGCTCTTTTCAAGTCAATGGAGGAGCATTTAGAGAGCTGCAAAGACACTAACACCTCATCACCAGCTTGATGTGCTCCTGCCAAGATGTGACCAGAGGCGTTTGACTAAAATCAACACAATAATTCGTGTTTACACACGACTTCAACAGCGTCAGCAACAAGTAAAAGAGCTGCAGTCTATGGCAGAAGCTTCAAGACTGTCTTGGGCAAGAGTAATGTTTGTTAAGGCAAAAGGATGTTACAAAATGATGAGCTTCTATTCCTTATTCCACCAAAATGACACGTACTCATCAGGCTGGTGCTATTTGTGTCTTGCAAAAGCAGAGATGAGGCACCTGCCACCCCTTTCTGGAGCAGGCCTTCCCTTCCCTAACACAGGGAAAAGATAAACCAGGGATGCAGTGGGGATTTGCAACAGGACACGCATCTGTGCTTGCCTCAGTGTGATTAGTAGTGTTAACCACGACTTTTAAAATGCAAAGCAGGCAAAAAGAAAGGAAAAATCGGTGACACCCCTGGCTTTGAATGTCAAGTACTCACACCGGGGAAAGGCCATTCTGAGTCACCTTTCAGAGATGCAAGTCCCAAATAACCCCCGAGCTCAGGCTCCGACACTCGGGGGGCAGCCGAGCACAACCAGCCCCAACAATCCTGTCCTTGTGCTCTCCTCCACCCACCCACCCATCTCTGGG